TTCCGAATCATTTATAGATTCGCTTCTACACGATAAATTAAGTATTCGAATTAGTCGGTCACAAATGACATCAAATCCTGTAGAGTGACTGCATTGCGACCAATGCGGTGAGCAACCGTAATAAAATTTTGTCGATAAAATGTGGTTTGCAGAAGTGACAAATGGTGCCTGAATTCCCCAATAAAGACAGCGTACGAATTTTGAAACAAACATGACGCACAATGCGACTTTTTGAGCCTCGGTTGTCATTAATCCTTCACAGTGGAACAGAGCAAGTTTTTCAGACTCTCAAGTGAGAAGATTCTCGAGAAATGCGCGTTCTTTATTACATCAACTGATAACAAAGGTTGTCCTAACTGACAGTATAATGCAGCGAAGTCCAGCTATTCAAAGGCAGCGACCACAATGACAAAGGGTGATGCGGTTTCGAAAACGCCGTTAAACGTTATGGGTAGAAGGCATTTAGAGATGGTCCCAACGATGCCATCAGTGCGCTCGGGTGGGCGTCTGGAGCACCACGAGACCTACATGGAAACGGACCCCACAGAAGAAATAGTCAAATCAATCGAAAGTCCGCAGATTTGGTTGACTTCTTGTTCATTATGTTCATTTATTATACTTTTTCATGTTTCGGTATCGATACTCTAATACTATTAGCTTTGTAATTAACAACTGCATAAATTGAAATTGGGAATCCTCTTCCATAACCTCCACCATCCGATTCGTCGAACTACGCACGGCGCAAAGAAAGAAACTGAACATGGTTATCCACTTCTTGCTTCACAATCTAATTCACTTTTTCTCTGGCGTTCATTCATTTTGAGCCAGTAATTCCTCTCTGTGCTAATCGTACGGTGCGGCGAATGTCTCCCCTGTGCTATAGTTACAGCTGGCGGCGGCTTCAGCCCTTATCTTCCGATACCTATCGTTTTTCTGACAACTGGTTCGCTGTACAAGCTTCAAAAGCCTCACACTTTTGCTCGTTGTGGCACGCGTGCAGTCTCGGACCGTCTTGAAGTGCCACCAAACAAAGGTAATTAAGTTAGTATTTATTCTGGATTTTGAGTGACAGCGGTGCAACAGCCGTTCGTGATTGGATCGATCCGAATTTTGACATTGATCAATTGTCACATTTTGCAATGGACCCACGAAGCGGTGCAGCGCGAGCGAGGATTGCCAATGGGCAGAAGGACGATGGTCTTGGAGTGGAGGATGTGGCGCTTCCCAAGGAGCTGCAGGAGCAAGTGGAGGCGATCACAAAGTCCAGCCGCATCGCCGATGGGATTAAGAAGGTTATTGCCGCGATCACACGCGAACTTCAATCGCTTCACGTGGAAAACAGGGAACTCAGGCAAGAGTTAGATTGCCTTCGATGTGCCTCGTGATTGTTTATCTAATGCAAGTTACGACCACGTGTCAGAGTTTCGAAGTCAAACGGCTTCCGGTACTGCTCCTGCTTCCGTTGAAGCAGGATTACCTTACCAGGAAGTCGAGAGGCTTCGCTCTCTGATTATCAGCGGGGTGCCTGAGTTGAAGTCTCGAGCTACCAAGGAGCGTCTATCTCTATGATTATGCTAGCGTTTGTAATATTCTAGATTTTCTAGGTATTGAATGCAATCCGTTGAGTGTGTGTCGTCTAGGTAGGCCTACGACTAGGCAAGGATAGGCTGCTGAAAGTTGTATTACCGTCCAGAGTTTTCCAGCGATTGGCGGTAAAAAGAGCCTCGCGGCTTCGCTACTTCTCTGGGCAGGGCGTCTGTTTAAGGGAATCCCCTGACCTCAGAGCAGAGGAGGCGTAGGCGGGAGGAACGCAGTCGCGTGGCTAGGAATGAGGACGGCACATCACCTTGCTAGTGGTAGTACCGTAACCGCAAATCCTAACCACGTGGCTAGTCGCTCTGATAGCATCGAGGGAAACTGAAAAGCTTTCCTCGGTATGCTAGACCGCTTAGATTTTTATATTCTAATGTGAGATCAGTCTCTAAGAACAGGGATTTTGTAAAGATTTTGCTGGCCAAAGATTACGATATTTTTGCCTTCTCAGAGACATGGCTAAAGCCAAGCCACACGTTAGCTGGCTTACTGGGTAGAGTTGTAGACAACTACGTCATGTTCAGATGTGATCGTCCTAAGAAAGTAGGTGGTGGTGTTATTCTTCTTGCTCAACGTAGGCTTTCTTTGCTTCTAGTGTTTGCCGAATCGGTAGAGGGACTCATTCGAGATTCTTTGTGTAGACGTATTTTGTGAAGGCTCTAGTATCAGATTGATTGTGGCTTACAGGGCGCTCTCGTGTTCTAAAAACAAATTCTCGAGCTACTTGTAAAAGCACTCATGGTCAGTGAATTGATATCATGTGAAAAGCACAGTGTGATAGTAAGTGATTTTAACTTGCCGGAATTTTGCCGCCAAATAGATGTTCGTTCTGGTTCAGCTACAAAGGGCTTGTTTCGAATGAGCTGGATCATTGTCATAATCTTGTCCAGCATGAACGAGAACCGACCAGGGGTGACAATGTGTTCTTGATTTAGTTTTCTCTACCGCGTCATGTCTGATAAGATCTAAAGGTAACACCCCTTCCCGTAGGTTTCAAGCGATCACAATAGTATTACATTTGAAATAGCAGCCAAAGTGTCCTCTTCTCTCTACGTTTACAAGCGCATGTATTCTAGTTGCAACTTTGGAGATCTATGCCAAAGTTTGGCTCAAATACACTGGGTGCCCCTGCTTGAATCTAAAGGTAATGTAAATGAAAAATACGAGCTTTTCTTGTCTATCCTGCATGGTCGCGATTGAACTACTTTGTTCCTTGGAAGAAGGCTCCTTACGTCAATGCAATTGGCCTTCCCAAGCACTTACAGAATAAGTGGGAGCACAGAGAATGTCTATTTAACGAAGCCACGCAATCCGGGAAGTGGGATGAATTCACACAAAGATTTCACGTACGTCTCAAAAGATATAATAATTATGTGGAGAAAAAAATTATCGAATCAGGTAATGTTAGGTGCTTCTATAGGTATTTGAGCAGAAGAGTTCCAGAACATTAAGCGAATCGGTTGTCTGAGGAAAGAAGTTGTTGCAATCTATCATATGAATAAAAGCCAGTAAGCTGCGTCATATTCGAGAGCGCTTCCAGAAGAATGATGGAGCGTCCCCGAATAGTGGAATGTCCATTCTCGTTGAGGCTATGAGGGAAGTTCCCGGTTTGCTGCCGGGAATGCTCGCCCCGAGTTTGCATGATGTTAATTCAGCAAAGTGGGCCTGTGGTCTGCTGTCATGCCACTTGCCTGCCGCCCGCCCCTGGGTCGTCTTCAGTCACTCCCGATTTTGTGCCGTTCTTTGTCGTGCAGAGAACAGCTGATTGTTATCTGCGGTCCTCTTGCATATATCTTCAATCAGTCGTTATCCTTCGGAGAGATACCTTCACGATGGAAACATTCTTTCGTTACACCGTTACTGAAGAAGGAACCATCATGGAACCCCGAAAATTATCGCCCTGTTAGTATTACATCTTTCTTCTGTAGGCTATTTGAGAAAGTCTTGAAAGAGCATGTTGTTCGTCACTTAACGACCAATCGTCTCATTTCAAGGCATCAACATGGTTTTGCTCCAGGTCGTTCTGTTGAAACAAATCTAAATCGAGTGCTCAACGACTGGACTGAAGCTATTGATGACAAGCTCTCCTGCGATGTCATTTATTTCGACTTTGCAGTGGCAACTCCCAATTGCTCCACACAAAACAGTGTTCATGCAACTAATGTCTGGAACTTCACCGTCGATTCGATCGTACACTGTAGATGGCGTGCCTCTCTCTGCTGTAGAATCTGTCAGAGATCTCGGTTTTCATTATAACAATAAGCTGGACTTCACGGAACACATTAAACTGAGGGTCAGAATGGCAAATTTACGAACTTTCCAAATTTTCAAAGGCTTATCCCTAGCAAACAAAGATGTTTTGTTGCGTGCTTACAAGTCATATGTGCGCCCCCTGGTTGAGTCCAGCACTACGGTATTCAACACCACAAGGAGGAAGCATGTATATGCGCTTGAGAAGGTTCAAAATAACTTTACTCGTAAACTGCTTATTCGAATTCGGTGGTTTTTTGTACTCCAAAATACCAAAAGCAGCTATTAGGAATCAGTATCTGGGACTGACATCTTTAGAAGTGAGGCGTAGAGTTTTCGACCTCTGTTTGGTTCATAAACTGGTACAGGACGCGTCCGGTTACGGTTCCTCCGATGTATTCAAGCTGACATCTTCGAGAACTAGGGGAGGCTCCATGAAGATATCGTTGAAGCGCCCTAAAACTAATTTAAGGGCAAGAAACTTCGCCTTCAGGGCTGGTAGTGACTATATGAAGTTATCGAAGAAGGTACCCATCACTTTATCGTTGGCGCAGTTCAAACGCCATGTTGTTAAATTGCTGCTGAGCAAAGGCAGATCCTGATGTTCTCAGAGACTGATTAACAGCTAACTCATGATTTATATTATTTTTGTTTGGGTTGTGTGCAGGTTTTTGTTTGATAGTTCACATCACGTTGTTGTTACTTTCTCACGTTTGCCTTTCGCAGGCGTAATAAACATAAACATAAACATTAACATAACATAAACATAAATATTTACATCAGATTTTTATTTTAAATACAGCTTCATTTGATAGACCACGAAGGAATGTTCACTATATATAGACAAAAAGAACCGGTAAGTAAAGTTGCAAGTAAACAACAAAAATGGATGTGATAAATTAAATAAGAGATAAACAAAGCATGAACAAGTGACTACCGATACGCAACTGCATATTTCACGAAGGCTAAATAATAACTCCCTACTCTAATCTCCGAGGAGGGAATCACTATTGGTAACCTATGATGGGACACTTGTTCATTTTAATTTCTAAGTCTCCACTTAAAATGTTTAAAATCATTTTTAAATTTTCTGAAATTCTCATAGCGTAATAATTCAAATTGAAATTCTTTGAACGATGTTTTCAAGCATTCACTCGGAGATGCTCGAGTTCTGTTTTCCAGAAAGCAAGTCTGTCCGTCATTGCGTCGAAGTCTATCGGAGGAGTAGCATAATCTCCGGCGCACTCCATTGTGATTGGGTTGTGACGGAGCCTTCAATTATCTTATCCAACTTCTGCATTATGTGACAAAAAATATTGCTTATACGACAGGACTTCCCCATATTATATCCCTAGATTCGTTATCTTGCAGTTTCACCAGAAGTTCATATTATTTGTCTAAAACACCAGAATTACCCACCCAGATCGTTTCAATGGTCGTGTCCTCTCAGGCCTTTCTTGCAAACAAGAAGGATAGAAGGAAAGTTAGTCCGCCATGTAAATTAACAAAACACAGAATGAGAAGCTTAGCTAACCAGGGCGAGATTCGATCTGCAATCCAAGGCGAGTAGGTGAACGGTATATTTCGTCACCGAACCCCATTCCCCACCACCCCTCCTCTTAATGTTTTGGTAGATCTTATAAGAAAAGACTCGTTTGGGTTAGACTGGAATTTTGAAGCAATCAAGTAATCACTTCCCAGATTAAAAATGAAAAATCTACTTACATATAAGCATTCCATAAATTTTTTCCTCGCTTAGCCCACTCGTCAGCTTGATAAGTCGGTTCCGGTAAAGACACTGGCGCGTCCGATATCTGAAACGACCCTGACGGCATTTATTCCTCTTTACTAGGCACGCTATGGCGCTGTGATCCACACCACTCCTTTGTTCCGAACGAAAAGCACCTTATGCACTACCCGTAAGTGCCATTCCTAATCACTTTCCTAATGTCAAGCGTGATGTGCGTCGTTAACAAGCGGTAGAGCACTGGAGCTATAAGAGACGTCTCGAGGGTACCCACGCCGCACCAAAAATTTGATATTGTACAATGCAAATCACTTAGCATAACGATCGCTGCTAAACTGAACAGAAGTGGTTGGTAAACGACTACAACAGGGTCACTGTAAGTTTAAACAACTCTTTATGCCAACAAGAGCTCTCAAATAACTCACTTGATGGTGGAATGTTAGAGCTAACATCAGCGCTTGTACTTGATCCATACTCATATCGTTCTCGTCTATCAGAATCTGATATGCGGTTCGGTTTTGCGTTCCATTGCAAATCATCTTCGTTAAAGGAATCTTCCACGGACCATGGACCAGTGGGCGGGACCGGAAGTGGTTTTGCGACGAAATGCATGGTAGGTACGGATCCACGTTCATGGGAAGGTTTGAAGTGAATCCTGTTCACGTTCGTGCGTTCGACACGTGGATCCGTACCTACCATGCATTTCGTCACAAAAACTTCCGGTCCCGCCCACTGGTCCATGGTCCGTGGAAGATTCCTTTAAGTTGCTCAAGTTCGTCGTAGCGGTTCAGAAAAAGAATAACTCTGAGCGTACAGAACCTCTAACAATCAGAGCGAATGAGTACGCTATTGTGGCATGGCTGAGGACAGCTTAAGGTTGTTTATCGCTCATTATATGTCAGTCGTGCGGCAATAGCTCCCGCCGGTTGGATGCGGCCAACTCGTAAGGCGCGGATGGACTAGTAGGAACGCGCGGAACGAGCCACAAATGTGCGGACAATGAACCCACATAGATGTGGGAAGTGGGTGACAATCTAGACCACACTCGACGCTCGATAACCCAGCGCGCAACTTGCATGTCCAACGGACATCAGCCCACTGTTTGCGTATGTACGTGTGCAGCAGTAATAGGAAAAGGTCAGTAAAGCACATGCAAACGCTGGCAGAGAATTTAAAGCGAAAAGAATAATAAGTAATTACTGGTTGAAGCCTTGCCAGCAGCCCAACTGCAAACTTTTACAGGGAATGAGGCGGATGCGGGTCCCAATCTGGTGACAGACCTAGCGTGTTCCTTGAGCGCACCTTCCAAGCGTCGTGTCGCGCATGTTTTGTAAGAACAGATGCAAATAATCAGTTTGGCATGACGTTCGACAGAAATCCTACGAAAACTGCTTCCTATCTTTCGAATGGGCTTACAAACACACCCCCACCGAGTGGGTCGATGTGGCGGAGGGTGGTCGCGTGGGATCAAGAATTTGCCGGAGGCGAGTCAGTAAAAATTGAGACTACTTTGCCACTGGCAAAGTGTCCTTGAGTACAAAGACAGGGGCGTGGGAAGGCCCCTTTGAGAGGCGATGAGAGGCAAGGAGATTGTTCCCACAGATTTTGCTTTTCCAAGTTGCTGCTCGTTCTCTCTTCGTAACTGGAGATTCTCCGACGGCTGTGATCCTCTAGGAGTGCTTTGGTGCTACTCGGTTATTGAGTTAGGAACCTTCTTGACTCGTTGAGGAGCGGCGTGAGCTCTTGCCGGGATACGAAGGCGCCTAACCCAAAAGGCAGAAGATGGGGCCTAGGTAGCTCTGAATAAAAGAGGAGCCTGTGTAGCTCGAGTAGGTCTGAGTGGCAAGTGGAGTGAACCGTTCTGTTCAGCTAAGAATGAAGCGAGGACGCGACCTGCAACCGCGCCCACTTAGATGGTCGCCATATCTACGATCGACCCGCCTCCGCCACCGCCATAAATCTACGTCGGTGTTATACATGTCACTCGAAACGTACCTGCACAGGATGATGGCTCTGCATATAAAATTCTGTGAGGTCATTCCGCACAACATCCGTGTCGACGACAGTCCCTGGCTTTGGATTTCCGATACCTTAACGTTCTTTATAAAACCCA